GAGACCCCCAATACTATGGCCCTGAAATACATTTGGGGCCTGGAATAAAACTTACCTCAGGGGCAGGCTCTCAACCCAATGGTTAGTGAGATATACACACAGACCACTCAACCCAGGATGCTGTGCCAACATACCCAGTGGTAATGCATCCCCTAAAGCAGTAAACCATGGGACAGCAAAGGACCAACATTCAAACTAAGGAAATGCAGGACAAACAGGAGTGCATGATTATGAGGGGCACAGGGGAAATGTTGCAGGGGAGGGAGGGGAGGAGGCTGGGTTGGGGTTGGACATGGCGAATGGGGAATGAAACCAAATGAAGCGTGACTTTGAATGTAAAACAAGCTCTTAAAAAAAGTTATTTGCATATATCTTTCCCATTCCATGGCTTTTTTTTCCCCTCTCTTCTTTTTTGTCTAAATATTTGTTATTTTAAAGTACTCCATTTTTCAGTCTTTTATTTTATGACTTGATATTTGCATCTTATTTAAGACATTTTTCATTACATTGAGCTCATAAATATATTCTCCTATATTTTCTTCTGAAAATTTTGCCTTTTCCATTTATGCCTTTTATCTACCTGGAATTCATTTTGAATTTGGTGTAAAGCAGGGATGTAATTATTTTCCCCATATCGTTATCATATTGTCCAAAAACTATTTTTTAATGATTCGTTCTTACCTACTGGTTTAAATATCATCTCTGTCATAATTATTTCCATATATGCATGTGTTCTTTGTATTGATTTCTTATTGCTGACTTCACAAATTACCGCAGAGTGGCTTAGAACAACACAGATTTATTATTTTACAATCCTGGAGGTCAGAAATCTAGTGGAGAGAACTACATTCCTTTTGGAGACTCAAGGGGAGAATTTGTATGTTGACTTTTCCAGCTTCTAGAGGCTGTTTATATTCTTTGGCTTGTAGCCCCCTTCTGGCAATAACATCACTCTGACCTCTGCTTCTGTCTTCCTTCTCCTTCTCTGACTTTGACCCTAATGCTTCCTTCTTATACACACCCTTGTGATTACAGTAGGACCTGCAGGATAATGTTCAGTCTCAATATCCTTTACTTAACCACATCTGCCAAGTCCTCTTTACCATGTGAAGTAACATGTTCACAGATGTTCACAGATACTGAGGGTTAGAATGCAGATGTCTTTGGTGATTGGTGGTGTGGCACAATTCAGCCTACCACAGCCTTCTTTCTGGGTCGTCTTTTCTCATTATCTTTTTCTGACTTTAAAAAATATTTTATTGTGTTTTTGGTGAAAGTACATAACAAATTAGGCTCCCATTTAATATTTACTGAAGAAATTGTTCAGTGACATTGGTTACTATTCTCACAATGTGTCAACATTTTCATTAATTCTGTTCTGGATGTTTTGTTTCCAATAATATGGTTTCCCTGTCCCCTTACTATTTCATCTTTGTTGACCATTTAGTCTCATATAGATGATTTTTTATAGGTGTGCAGTACTCACAGGTAATTTTTATTTTTATCAGCCATCTGTTATTTAGCTAAAAGGTGACCTGGGAAGGAATATTTTGGTTCAGGATTTAAAGAGTCTCTCAGGATGATAGTCTCAGAGAGTCCTCTAGTCTCAACCAATCCAGTAAGTCTGGAGTTTTTAAGAACTTGAGTTCTGTTCCACATTTTTCTTCCCTCTATCAAGATCCATCTACTGTGGCCCTGATCAGAACAGTTATTAGTGGTAGCTGGATACCATCTAGTTCTTCCAGTCTCAGGGAAGTTTAGACCATAGTTCGTGTAGACTATTAGTCCTGTACCTTTTCTTATGTTTTTGATGCAATCCTTTTAAATGTACTTAGTTTATAATCTCTTGCTGATAGTTCTATTATCTGAATAAAGTTCTTGGTAATCTAATCCGGCTCTTTGTTGTGCCTGCTAACTCTCAGGTAAGATTATATCTTCATGTGTTATATCATTTTAGATTATAAACTTGTTATTAGGGAACTCTATCTGTGGTAATCTCATGTGGTCTAAATTGAGGTCATATCTCTTCAGTGACCTTTAGCAATTGTTTCCCCCAAGTCCCCTGGGATACCACTGATCTAGAGTCACTTTTCATGATATTTTATTGTTTAGGGGTTTCTTGGATTGTGTTGTAGTATAATTCCAACCCTGTTTAAGAGCAGACCCAAACCAAACTCACTGCCGTCGAGTCAGATCTGACACATAGCGACACCTCCTTGGGTTTCCAAGGTGGTATCACTGTGGAAGCAGATGGACCATCCTTCCTTCTGAGAAGTGGCTGGTGGGTTTGAACCACCAGGCTTCTGGTTAGCAGTCAAATGACTTAGGCACTACACCACCAGATCTCCTAAGAGCAGGCCTTTAATTGTGAATACTGAAGTATAAATCTTCCTCTATCCAGGCCTCAAGATAAAGACAAATGTCTTTGTTTTCTCTCTCTTTTAGTAAGTAAGTATTTTCTCTATATTATCCTTTTAATGAGAGTGTAGCCCTTTAAGCATCCCGACGTTATAAGAGTATATCTCATTTTATATTTCCTGCCTTGTTTGAATCCCAAGGCCTTTCCTGTCCCTATGTCAGCTTTAAAACCCAAGGCCTTAGATTGCAGAGATTGGCAAACTCCACAGAGCTTCAGCAGCAGTAATTCATGTGTTACTGCTTTGACTCTCAGTTCCCAGTTTGGTGTTGGCTTCTGGAGGCACTTAGTTTTATGATAAGTAAAATCTCCTGGGGTTTCCCAGCATATCCCCTACTTGATTGCTCCTTAACACTTATTTGTGGTGACTTTTGTTGGGTGTCTCATATGTCACTTCTGGAGGTTATTTGTAGTCTTATTTGCCATAGTTAGTAACTAATTTTAGGGGATCCCTAATCTTTGGTTAGGGACACATTTGGCTTGGTCACAATTCTAGGCTTTGACATTGTACAAATAACAGCTGCAGCTCTGCAGGGTCAGAATATGACTAATCTTCACCTCTGAGGGATTCTTAATACTATTATAAAGAAAATAATACATTACTATCAGAATCCTTTTTCTGGAAGACCAGTTATTAAAAGTAACTTACTTAGCAGAGGATAATATTATATTAATTTTCAACATACCAATTTAGCCTAATACTTATTTTCTTACTCTCTTTCTAGGATGTGTGCTGTGTTTGGTGGAATCTATTGTCTTCGTCATTCAGTACAGTGCCTTGTAGTGGACAGAGACTCTAGAAAGTAAGGATGATATAAGTATTCTTCCTATAGTTACACTACAAACACAGGTGAAAAATGGTAAAGTCAATTTAAAAAAAATGATTCTTCAAAGATCCACCTTGGTATTAGTAACATATCAACCTTGATTAAAAGTAATATGTGTTTAGATCCTCCAGAACAAGGAAAGTGAGTTCAGAATATAGAAACTAAATTAATTTTCCTGCAATATGACTATAGCTCCTGATCATCCAAGCTTGGAAGACAAATCATTTCAACTGCCGGTGGTTGGTGATGAGTGATGTTGGTTTTCCTTGTGGCCTTACTTCCTCTAATTGATTTTCATCAGATGACAACAAAGCCCTCTATTATTGCATTTTTAAAAATGAACCTCACCTAAAGACTCATCAGATTAATCTCTGGTGATAATGCATGTCACTTCAAGAGAAAAGACGTTAACGAGTTTTTAGGTAAATTATTGTCATAAACTATGCTGCCCTCTTATCCGAGGATAAATTCTTTTACAATGATATCAGACCTGATTTAGGATTGAAATAAGAATTTAACCACTTTGAAAACAAAAGCTGAGCACCATCTATTAATCCATGTATTTTTATATTTTTCTAGGATTTATTATCTAGTTATTAAGATATGCTCTTGTCTGAAATGCATTAAATAAAATATTATTCCACAATTTCTAGCCATTACATCAAAGCTAAAGGGGTCAACTGGATCAAGTTTTATGAACTGTTTAAATTCCTATGTGTTTTTTCTTTTTTCTTACATGTTCTGAAGCATCTCCTGACCTAGATCTCTAAGATAACTATTTTTAGGGATTATACAAATAAATAGTACTGTTCATAAAATATTTTAATATCTTGAGCCAGAAGCATTAATAATATTAATTATAAGCTCTTTCTTTCATTTTGCAGTAATTTTACATAGTTTGTTGTTGTTGTTATGTGCCATTGAGTCGGCCTCAACTCATAGCGACCCCTCCTTGGGTTTCCGAGGCAGTATCACTACAGAAGTAGGATTGCCCAACCTTCCTTCTGAGGAGTGTCTCATGGGTTTGAACCGCCAGCCTTCTGGTTAGCGGTCAAGTGCCTTAGGCACTATGCTACCAGAGCTCCTTTTTTACATAGTTTAGTAGCATAAAATGTCTAGTTTCATATATACTAGTTTATAGCATAATAACCAGTATTTTGAGATATGGAGAAGAAAATACAGTTTAAAAAACATGTAATATTCAATAAATAGTGAATTAGCTTTAGAAAAAAAATTCTGTAGTATAAAATCGACACATGGTTTAAATGCTTGTAGTGTACTTTTAGCACTTTAACAGAAAGGTACTACATAAATGAAAAATGATAATCTACCATGAAAAATCTATCCCTAAACTCCCAGGATATTAATATGTTGGCCCATGAAAACTCTGTAGAGGTTCATGAAGGAATGGTTGTCTTTATGACTCCTAGAGTCATTTTTCTTTATGCATTTATTTTGAAGCAAGAGCATGTTCTTATGACTAAAAGCCAGATAATGAATTGCTTGTTTTGTGCTTATTTACTTAGATCTTTCTACCCCTTTGGGCCTCATTCCAGTCTCACATGTTACTCTCAGTGACATAAGGAATTTGCATGGTTCATGTTTTTGGCTTTTTTTTTCTCCCCCAAATGAGTAGACAGTAATACCATTTGTTGAAGTAAAGGCTACATTTACCCCACCTTTGATTTAATGTTTAATTACATACTCTGAACAGAGGAGCTCTTCATGATCTGCTGCAGGTTCCAGTTGCAATGGTAGCTGAGGATGAGGGATCTAGGGACTGAAACACTTCTAGACTGATATTTTTCAAACCTTAATGTGCTTAAGAATCACCAGATAAACTAATCAAAAATGCATATTTATGGGCCTGCCCTTCAGAGAGTCGGGCCAAGGATTTTTCATTTTTAAGAAACATCTCACGTGAATTTAATGTACATATTCCTTAGATACCACTGAGAAATACTGATTTATAAGAAAAGGTTGAGGGTCAGTGGTAGAATTCTCACTTCCATGCAGGAGACCCAATTTCGGTTCCCAGCCAGTGTACCTCAAGTATAGCCACCAGTTGTCTGCCCATGGAGGTTTGCATATTGCTATGATACTGAAAAGACTTCAACAGAGCTTCTAGACTAAGACAGGCTAGAAAGAAAGACTTGACAATTTACTCTCAAAAACTGAAAAAAACCCTATGGATCATGACAGTTCAGTCTCATTGTGTATGGGGTCACCTTTAGTTGGGGCCAATTCATCGGCTGCTAATAGCTGTGTTCCATGCTTGATGAGTCTCTAGGTCTTCATTCATTCCAAGGCCTTATCAAGATGAACCTGCCAAATCTATTAATGGTCGTGTATGAATTTTAAATTCCAGGCAAACTGCTACCAATCTCACACTTCTTTTGAATCTACATGGAAAAACCTCAGAGATAAAAATTACTGTCTAACAACTCCTAAGATCAGATAGCCCTGGAATGAAATTAGAAGACCTGCAATTCTATTAAGGAGCTCTGATGGCATTGTGGTTAAAGCATTAGGCTGCTAACCAAAAGGCAGTTCAAACCCACCAGCCGCTTCATGAGAGAAAGACCAGGCACTCTGCTTTCATAAAGATTTATAGCCTTAGCCTTAGAAACCCTTTGGGAGTCGCTATGAGTCAAAATTGACTCGATAACAAGTGGATTTGATTTGGTTTATAATTCCATTACTACCACTGAATTGACAGTGGCAAAGTCACTTTTCTCTGGGTCAGTTACTTTATCTGAAAGATGAGGTAGATGGGCTCTGCATTGATCTCCAAGTCTTCTTCCAGGCCTGACATGCTTTGATTGGGTTACTTAATGTTTTTACAAGTATCTAC